GAGGGAGGGAGGAAAGGATGGAGAGGTAGAGGGACAGAGGGTCGAAGGGAGAGAGAGCAGGGTGGGAGGCAAGGGAGGCCCTCATCTGTTTTTGTTACAGCAGCCCCTCCACCCCAGTTATCTCTCCCCAAGTATCTTTGCTCATCCCCAGGCCTGGGCCATATACAAGGGCAAGCACCTAGAGGGCACTGACAAGGAGGACCCCTCCACTTGGAAGACACGGCTCCGCTGCGCTCTCAACAAGAGCGCCGACTTCCGTGAGGTGCGTGAGCGCAGCCAGCTGGACATCTCCAACCCCTACAAGGTCTACCAGATTGTGCCCGACGGTGTCCATGGCCCAGGTACCATTTTGCCTTTGGAGGAAGTGGCCAAGAATGGCTCTCTGGGCAATAAGAACCTCCCTTTGCACATCTGTAAAATGGGAAATGGTGGACTTATTGAGCTTAAACTCACAGGCAGGTAAGCACAGAAGAACCCTTAGATCACTCAGTTAATCTTCCCAATTAAAAAAGAGGAAACTGAGGTTCAGAGAGAGGTGGGTCTTGCCTGAGATCATGCAGTGAGCTGGAATCATCTCAGTTGAGGAGGTTCCCCTTGGGGCCCAGGAAACAACAGGCTCTCTCTTACTCCACCCAGTTACTGGGGCTTGTGCTTCCTCTGAAGAAGGCATTCTCCAGAGCCCGCAGGAACCCCCTAGAGGAGAGACGGGGCCAGTTTACAGGACAGACCAGGTCAGTGTGTCCCCTTGCAGCTCTTGCAGTCTTGCCAGCTAAGTCACCTTTACGCAAACCGCCCTCTCTGTGGTCTCCAGCGCGTGCTCTCATCCCCTCCGTGCCCACTCCCCCGTCAGCTCTCCTTCCTTCATCTCTGCCGTCACTTCAACTCCGTCTTTCTGTTCACTCTGTCTCCACCATCTCTGGCTCCCGCACCGCTCCCATCGCCTCCCTCATTGGCAGCGCCATCACTCTGTCTGCATCAACCCTATTTTCTCCAAGGTCACCCCGCCCCTATCATCATTGGGTCCATTGCTCTGTCCCCAGTCACCCCAGGAGATCCAGTCCTACTGTTGTATTCCCTTCACCTTCATCACTGTCAGCTGTCACTGTCGCCACCGACCCCATCGTCCCCATCTCCATCACTGTCCGCATCACCCCATCACCTCCACCCTGTCGCCTCTCCCCCATCGTCAGTGGCTCATTGCTCTGGCCCCATCCCTACCAGTCTGGTCCATGCCACTCTCCCGAGTGCCCCCATCGGCATCCGTTCCATCACCCTGTCCCCCTGTCTCTATCACTTTGGGTCCTATCTTCCCACTCACTCCTAGCATTTCCCCCTCTCATAGTGAGCTTCACCTCTGACCCCCTCACCTCCAACCCCATTGACTTTCTTTTAACCTCTACGGGGAAAAGGGTCATGAGCTCTGAAACCTCAAAGTCCCTGTCGACCCCAGGTGGCCTTCAGTCTGCCTAGACCTCTGTCTGTCCCGAGGCAGCCAGCCTGGGAACTCCTCTCCCACCCTCACAACCCTCTCTTCTGACGCTCAGGCAGGCTCCCAATTAGCCCCAGAGGATAGAGACAAGGAGGAGCGCCCCAGGCTGGCCCAGCAGGGCTCTCTGCCACCAGCCGCCCTGCTCCCAGGCCCTTTGGCTGACCACAGTAAGTACTGGGTCTCCTCACCCAGCCTTCCTCCTCCCTGGCCTCCTCCTGGACCTTGATGTAAGAGGTCAGGGAACCCAGGGTGAGGTGATGCCTGACTGCTTCCCCTCCTTCCCAGGGTACCAGGCACAGGGCCCCTCACACCTCTGGAGCCCTTTGCCCTCCGAGGGCTTCAGCAACCCTGGTAAGGAATTTAAAAGCTCTGACCGCTGTGCAGAATGGGGAAGGCTGGGGTTGGGGCCAGTTGGCCCTCTGTCTCCCACCCAAAGAACCCAGCCCAGACTCCCAATAACAGCCAACTTGTGTTGAGGGCTTAGTTCACTCCAGGCACCCTTCTAAGCTCTCCCCACAGTCCTGAGAGATGGATCCTGCCATTACCCCCACTTCACAGAGGCAGAAACCAGACAGAGGTTAAGAACCTTGCCCAAGGTCACACAGCTAGTACCCTGGGAAAGTTAACAGGTCACAGCTCTAAGTGTCAGCGAGAAATTAGAATCCAAGGCCCTGGCTGCAGCACACTGCTGGCTCCTCACACGGGAGGCTGCTGTTCTGTTATTTCCACCGGCATTAAAATATTTGCTGAGGAAAAAGCTCTTACAATCCCAGCGTTGGGGCTGGGAGGGCCTCACTGTGGTGCCCCCATTTTACAGATGGCCCCAGACCCTATGCTTTTGAAGCTCAACTACCAGTTTGTTTATACTGGAAGCTAAATTATTTACCACCACCACCACTAGAATTATTGTCACTTATCGGGAGGAACCGCCAGAATGTCCTGAAGTGGGGGCTGGGAGGACCTCAAGGCCCCCTGTGCTGTCGGGGGGTAGGTGGGAGCTGGTGCCGCCGACCCCCGCGCCTCGCCTCCTGTGCCCTTGCCTCAGATTGCTGGCTGCACGTGCGGCTGTTCTATGGCGCGGAGCTGGTGCACGAAGCCACGGCGCGCGCGGCCGAGGGCTGCCGCCTGAGCCCG